CATTTTAGATATTTATCTGAAATATTATTACCACTTGATTTATACAAATATTTCTATTATTGTTCTTCATAATATTTAGAAGGTTATTAAAAATTACAACTAAAATTGTTGTCAAAATAGAAACAAGAAAAAACAACCAAAATTATTTCTCATATGCTCATTAAACACAATATTGCATAAAAATATTTCTGTTAATGATTATCTTACTAAATTATAAAATAAAAATGAAATGATGAATATTTTAAAAGTTATATTTTCCATATATCCACATTATAATGTAAAAACTAAATCATGGGGGAAATAATGGGCAGCAACATCTGAAAAAAAATATGAATGTAAAGCTTCTAGTCCTTTTTTGTCACAACAGAATACCTTATGCAGAATAAGTTTAAGAAAACATGTATTTGCTTCAACAAGTATGTACATTTCTTTTCTATATTTGTCAAGTTTTTTCTTTTCAATTATGTTGGTCACTGAAGTGTCCTTTGTAACCTAGTTTTTTTTATGTCACAGTGTGATGAGTCTTGGTGCAGGTCTGTCTCAAGTGGTGGAGGGTAACTTTTGGCAATAGTCGACATACAAGGAAGACTGCCCTGCCAAGGAAAAAGAAGCTTTGAGATTGCAATGCAGTACTGCAGCAGAGGGGTGGACAGTTAGCCCCTCAGTCGTCAACTGTGCAGTCCAACTTCATAAAAGCTGTGCTTTAAAACTTCTTAAAATCACGCAATAGGTACAGAAGGAAAGTTGTTAGTGGCTAATACTTTATAGACTATTTATGAGCAATGAAGGCTTTAAAATATGATAGTCTGAACTGCATTAATATAAGGTTTTAAGTGCTGTTCATAGAGTTTGCTCATTGTAATAAACAACTTATTTATTTATAATATTTAAAATGTAACAATATTTCTGGTATAAAGCTCTTCCTTTTTTATAATACCATATATTGTTTATTACTATCTCATTTTCTTTCAAGAGTAATATAAATTCAGTGTGTAAGGAAAAGCATTTTCAGCAGAAAACTGTTTAATATCATTTTGGGAAATAGCTTGTTTGGAAATGACTACAAATGAACATAAAGAAATATGAAAATTATAACAATATGCTAATGTTTTAGCACATGAAAATTGATAATCTATTAAATTAAAATAGAGCTGTTGCAAGCAGAAAATGGGGAAAAAACTTTGCCTCACATTTCTCTTTGTTCAAGTAGCAACATAATTCCATAGAGGCATGAACATGGGCTTTATACCATTTCTAACTGTGGTTTTATCCTGTCTTGCCTCTAATGTGTTTTAATGCTGCTGCATATTTTATTTTCTAATATCAGTTGATCCTCTTCCCTATATAAGTAACTTATATCTCTAAGAGTCAAATTGGAAAATAGAGGATGCCAGATAAGCCATAGTTTTCTACTGAGAATCAAGGAAAATGAGTGAAGACATTATATCAGTGGTAGATGATAGATGGATTATTCAGTCTGACTCTATATTTCATGCTGGCATTCTTTAACACTACCCTAGAGTCAAGTTCACAATGCTCTCTATCTTTAAGTCCCTATTTTATGCTTAGAAGAAAAATGTATAGTCATAGCAAACATCCATATATATTTTTCACATATATATCTCCTATTGATATAGTAGCCAAAATACTCAAACAGCTCAAGTTTTCATCAGCTTTGGAATAACAAGTTGTATAAAAAAACCACACTATTTTCATATAAAACTTATTTTGGAAGTAGAAATTTATTCTAATGATATTAACATGTGGTAACAATTTGAGCATAAATTAAATTTCAAACTTCTTATACAGGATTTCAGAGAGAAGGGAAAATGTGTGATTGGAAAAAGATAACACTAGTTTGAAATGTGCTACAAAAAATAAATTTCTCACCAAAAACTTACCGTGTGTCTGATGTCAGATAAATGTCCTCTCTCCACTTTCCGGTAACCTGCCAAACTTTAATCTCTTTTTATAAGTATACAGGCACATGTTAGGAGCTATGTAGAATTGGGTAAAATACTAGTCATAGTCTTGTGTAGTACCCTAGCATTTAATGATGTATTTTGTTACAAAGTAGGCTTGCCACTAAATCATTCTGCCTTTTCCTTCTGAAATCTAGGAATATAGGTATGAATTACTGTGCCTTTTTCCGTAATCATTTCGTGTTCATTCAGTATAGTTTGATGGTAATTGTTTACATATTGTGGATCAGACATTTTATCATTATGTCTCTACATATTATTTCATCCAGCATTTAACGTCTATCTTACTATTTTGCATATTATAATTATTTTAGCGCATACACTATAAAACAAAGCAAGTTGTAATGACAGGTAGGTACTATACTACACTACTGGATGTTCAATGTTCTTCCATTTTTCTTTATATTATCTTCAGCTTTTTTTCCATTGAGGAAATACATAACATTTTTATATTTAGAGAATTAGCAGGATGTAGTTATTAATACAAATGCTTAAATAATCTTTCTAAATAATATTACTCAGTTTTTATAATTTTCTCATTTTAATTACTATGTAATTAAATCATGTTCCTTCGCCCCTTTTTTTCCTTGAACCCCTCCCATGTCAACTCCCTGTAACACTCCCTTGCACTCGCTTGTCACACACACACACACACACACACACACACACACACACACACACACACACACACCCATGGCCTTTTCTTAATTACTGTTCTATTTTGGTGACTAGACATCATGGTCAGAGGGGCTTATACAAGAAAGGTATTTAATTGGCAATTGCTTACAGTTTTAGAGGGACAGTATGTCAACAACAAGACATGGGTAGTACTGGAGCAGTAGCTAAGAGCTAATATATGATCAAGATTAAAGCAGAGGCAGCAAGAGTGGTCAGCAGTGGGTTTTTGATACCTCAAAGTCCACCCCCATTAACATACCTTCTCCAACATGGCCATACCCACTCAATCAAGACCATGTGCCCTAATCCTCCCCAAACAGTTTCACTATTTGGAGACTAAGCATTCAAACATATAAGGCTATGAGGGCCATTGTCATTCAAACCACCCTTGTCAATCAAACTGCCCTTGTCAATCAAATTGATGACTTGATTTTTCATTTTCTCATAGTTAGTACAGATGGAGAGATAGAAGATAGACAAATAGGTGATAAATTGATAGATAGATAGATAGATAGATAATTTGATAGACATATATATAGTTAGAAGATGCTGAATTCATTTAGTGTTGCTTGACTTTGTATGATTTCAGCACTAGGTACTATATAATCAGTTAGAAGGTTTAGCCTTTGGGAAGACTAATTCTCATACTCTCAGTAATATGTTGTTCTTTGTATAAGGGTAAGGCTTCTTGAAATAACTCCTTCAGCACTGGCTTGTCTGTTATTGCTGTCACTGTTTTGTTCTTGTTTAGGCGACCATATTGTGGTATCATGGATATATTTTTCATGTTGTTTTTAGATGATACAACCTTACAGGAGGTGTCCCGGTTTTCTGACTCTTAAAAATTGTTCATTTCCTTCTTTGATTGATGTTTCCTGAGACTTAGGTGTACAGTTCATGGTGTAGATATATCTAGTGGGGCTTGGCATTTAAACTTCTATTATTCTCTGTATTTTGATTGGATTGGTTTGGGGACTGTCTTTGTCTTCTGTAAAGAATTTATTTAGACATGAGGCAAATTTACATTTTTCTGTGCACATAAGTATTTAGAACACAGTATTGTGCTGTTTTAGTGAAGCAGAAGTTCATGACATAGACAAAGCTCATGACCCTTTTCTTAAATCATCTCCCTTCAAAACACTGTTTCAGTCCCTACGAAATGATTTCACATAGTAAATCAACTGAAAATGGGATAGAATAATAGTACTTGAGAGACTAATTTGTTTGCCTTTAAAAATAGATCCATTTTATAATTTTCAGCAGGATTTAGACATGTTATAGTTTATTATGTTGAAGACATTGGGCCATTGATTTTCATATTTACCTATTTACTGTTGTCCCTAATATTGAATTTCTAAGTGAGTTTGATTTGGGTCATAAAGCTTTCCATGAAAGTAAATCTAGTTTTTATATATTTTATAAATAAATACAAGATCAGGTTAAAAAACATTCTAGCTAATTCCAATCCCTTTGTAAGAAGGGATGGAGAATGACTACCCAGGCTATGTACTATATTGACAGGAGTTTCAGTCACAAAACTTTTAGACATTTCTGTCAGTACTAATGACATTTTGTTGTATATTTAACAAATAGAAAACATGCTTTTCCCATCTAAAAGTGTCTATAGATTATAGCTTCCTTTCAGTTTGCAATCAAGTGTGAAAACTGATGGAAAGCTTCCTGTGAAGCATAACTATTTTCTTATTACTGGCTTTCTTTAGAATGAGTTTCTATTTGATCATCCATCTTGTAAGTGCTACAGAAAAGTAAGTCAGCAATAAGTGTTGCATATTTTGTACCGCGTAGTTGTAGAACACTCATGAACATATGTGTCATAACACAAGTCAAGGACTGATATCATGACACTGTATTTCCTTCCATCACCCTTCTAAGGTTTCCTCAGTGGAGGTGATACTGGAAAACATTAGAACTCATGTCTATCAGGACATGTATTTCATATTTTATGCAAACAGTAGACAATTTAAATTCACCTTAAAGCAAAAATCTTTGATTAACATAAGTAAAATCTTGATCCATGGAACGATTAAAATCTTCACAAAACATTACTTATTTTAACTTTTTTTTGCATAAGGATGTTTAAAGTTTACAGTTTCTTGCTTCTTGCTAAGATCTTCTTGTGTCAGCATTTGAAGAGCAGGATGAGAAACAGGAGTTATTGAAGTCTCATTGAACTAAACATCTGAGATAGTTTGTCTTTGCTGAGAATGATAGGCTTTAAATGTGAAGACTTTTTCTATGTGTACTTTGTATTTCCCTTAGTCTGTGTACTTCAAATCTAAAAGCTTTCTGCCAATATTTCAAAATTACTTTCTCCCACAGGGCCCTCATCTGTACAGTAAAACACAATTGCTACTGTCTTTCTCCTACAAGGATCACATCAGCACTGGGATTACCATTGTATATGCCTTGTTCCTAAACCTGTGAAATGATGAATTGAACTCAAGAAGCATCATTCTGCTTGTTACCATATGGAGTAAGTCATCTTTTCCTTTTTCTTGCCCTCCTTAGATGGCAGTCATGATCTAGGCTAGCACAGATCCAGAAATTTCTTGCAGTTGTCATTACCTATATAGCTCAAGAGACTATCTCCACATTAAAACATGTGAAGGCTCACAGTTAAGCTGGAGGTATGGCTCTTTATTCAGTTAAATATACTATGATCCTTAGAGTATAAAAATTTGAACAACTTCCATGTGAATTAATGTGTCTAACCTACAACTTCCTTTTATCCTCCTCTATTAATTCAAATTCAGGTCTAGACTTGAAGTCTCATCTATGTGTCCTGAAGCAGGTCAGTTAACACTCCTTGATGTCTGCTACTGTGGGGTGCAGAAAGGTGAAAATACACAATGAAAAAAGATTGTGATTTACAGAGACATTCTGAAAAGGATTTTGAGGCTATACATTTTATTGTGTTTATAGTCTACCAGCCTATAACAAAAAGTCAGAAAGCTGTCAAATATGGAATAAAGTATTTTAAAATGTTCTGATGTTTGAATATTAATATAAACTTGAATGTTATACCATCAAAGATAATGTTACAACTATAGTCAAGGTGCAGTAAAAAGAGATGGGTATAGTAGCTCATGTCTGTATCCTGCTATTTGGGAGGCTGAGGCAGGAGGATTATTGCAGGCTAGAACACATCTTTGATTATATAATTGATGTAAGACCATATCACCAGAAATCATATATATCTATAGCATAATAGCTAGAGGGAAACTAGGAAAAATCCATGGTATTTTCATTAATGGTAGCCCAGCACTTTTCTCAAATTTCTAAAAGCCAATTTTTGTATCTATTACAAACTCCATGTATAAATATTACACAATGGCATAGGTAAAATTTCTGATATCTTCTTCAGTTTCTTTCTTTAAATACTCAAAGTTCCTTTCATATAGGTCTTTCATTTGTCTAGTTAGATTTACCCCTAGGTATTTTATATTATTTGTGGCTATTGTAAAGGGTGATGTTTCTCTGATTTCTGTCTTAGCCTGTTTATCATTTGTATATAGGAGACTTACTGATATTTCTGAGTTAATCTTGTATCTCACTACATTACTGAAGTTCATTATCAGTTGCAGGGGTTCTCTGGTAGAATTTTGGGGGTCACTTATGTATATTATCATATCATATACAATTAGCAAAAGTTTGATTTCTTCCTTTCCAATTTGTATCCCCTTAATCACCTTTATTTGTCTTATTGCTCCAGCTAGAAATTCGAGTACTATATTGAATAGATATGGAGAGAGTGGACAGTCTTGCCTTGTTCCTGATTTTAGTGGAATTGTTTAGAGTTTCTTTCCATATGTTTGATGTTGGCTGTCACCTTGCTGTATATTGCTTTTATTATGTTCAGATATGTTTCTTATATCCAAGATCTCTCCAAGACCTTTATCCTGAAGGGGTGTTGGATTTTGTCAAAGGCTTTTTCAGCATTTAATGAGATGATCATGTGTGTTTTTTTTCTTTCAGTTTGTTTATATGGTGTATTACATTGACATATTTTCAAATGTTGAACCATCCCTGCATCAGTGGGATGAAGCCTACTTGGTCATGGTAGATTATTTTTTTAATGTGTCCTTTGATTCAGTTTGCTGGTATTTTACTGAGTATTTTTGTATCAATGTTCATGGGGGAGATTGATCTGTAATACTCTTTCTTTGTTGCATCTTTATGTGGTTTGATTATCAGAGTAACTACACACATAAAATAATTTGTAAATGTTCCTTCTCTTTCTATTGTGTGAAGTAATATGAGAAGTATTGGTATTAGCTCTCCTTTGAAATTCTGGTAGAATTCTGAGCTGCAACCATCTGGCCCTTGTGTTTTGTTTTGTTTTGTTTTATGTTTTTTTTTCTTTTTTAGACTTTTAATGACAGCTTCTATTTTCTTAGGGGTAAAAGGGCTATTTAAATTGCTTATATGGTCTTGATTTAATTTTGGTATATGGTACCTATGAAGAAATTTATAATTTTTTTCAGACTTTCCAATTTTGTGGAATATAGGTTTTTGAAGTATTATCTGATGATTCTCTGGATTTCCTCAGTGCCTGTTGTTATATCCTATTTTTCCTTTCTGATTTTATTAATTTGGATTCTCTCTCTCTCTCTCTCTCTCTCTCTCTCTCTCTCTTTCGGTTAGTTTGCATAAGAGTCTATCTAGTTGATTTTCTCAAAGAACCAACTCGTGGTTTCATTGATTCTTTGTATTTTCTCTTTTATTGATTTCAGCCTTGAGTTTGATTATTCCCTGTTATCTATTCCTCTTAAGTGAGTTTGCTTCTTTTTGTTCTAGAGTTTTCAGGGGTGCTGCTAAGTTGCTAGTGTGAGATTTCTCCATTTTTTTAAATGTAGGCCCTTAGTGTTATGAACTTTTCTGAGAACACTGCTTTCTTAGTGTCCCATAAGTTTGGGTATGTTGTGCATTCATTTTCATTGAGTTCAGGAAGTCTATAATTTCTTTCTTTATTTCTTCCTTAACCCAATTGTAATTCAGTAGAGAGTGGTTTAGTTTCCAAGAGTTTATAGGCTTTCTGTAGTTTGTGTTGTTGTTGAATTCTAACTTTAACGCATAGTAATCCAATTAGATACATGAGATTATTCTAATTTTTTTTTATCTTTTGAGGCTTGCTTTGTGACTGATTATGTGGTCAATTTTAGAGAAGGTATCTTCTTTTGTGTTTGGGTGAAATGTTCTGTAGATATCTGTTAAGTCTCTATGAGTCTTAACTTCTGTTAGTTTCCTTATTTCTCTGTTAAGTTTCTGTCTGGCAGACTTGTCTGTTGGTGTTGACATCTCCTAGTATGAATGTGTAGGATTTGTTGTGAGTATAAGCTTTAGTAATATTTCTTTTACAAATATGGGTGTCCTTGTATTTGGTGCATAAATATTCAGAATTGATACTTCATTTTGATAGAATTTTCCTGTGGTGAATATGAAATATCCTTCTTCATCTTTTGATTAACTTTAGTTTGAAGTCTGTTTTGTTAGATATTAGGATTACTATACCAGCTTACTTCCTAGGTCCATTTGATTGGAAAATCTTTTCCCAACCTTTTACTCTGAGGTAAAGTTGAGGTGTCTTTCTTGTATGCAGCAGGATGGAAGGATCCTGTTTTCATATTTATTCTGTTAGCCTGTAATAGGCAATTTGAGTCCATTGATATTAAGAGATATTAATACCAGTGATTGTTAATTCCTGTTTTTTTTTTTTTTTTTTTTTGTTTTTTTTTTTTTTTTTTTTTTGGTTTTGGTGGCAATGTTAGTAGTTTGTGTGTGTTTCCCTTCTTTGGCTTTTGCTGGTATGAGATTATCTATTGCCTGTGTTTTTGTGGGTGCAACTAAGTTCCTTGGGTTGGAGTTTTCCTTCTAGCATTTTTTGTAGGCTAGATTTGTGGATAGGTATTGTTAAAATCTGGTTCTGAATGGAATATCTTGTTTCTCCATCTATGGTGATTGCAATTTTTGCTTGGTATATTAGTCCGGGCTGGCATCTGTGGCCTTCTAGTATCTGCAAAATGTCTGTCAAGGACCTTCTGACCTTTAGAGTCTCCAATGAGAAGTCAGGTGTAATTCTGGTAGGTCTACCTTTTATGTTACCTGGCCTTTTTCCCTTTGCAGTTCTCAATATTCTTTCTTTAGTCTGTGTGTTTACAGTTTTTCTTATTATGTGGCAAGGCAAGGGGACTTTTTTTTTTTTTTTGGTCCAGTCTATTTGGTATTCTGTAAGCTTCTTGTATTTTCATAGGCATGTCCACCTTTAGGTTGGAAAAGTTTTCTTCTATATTTTTGTTGAATATATTTTCTGTGCTTTTGAGCTGGGATACTTGGTTCTTGTCCTTCATATATTCCCATTATTCTTAGGTTTGGTCTTTTCATGGTGTCTCAGATTACCCAGATGTTTTCTGTGAAGAATTTTTTAGATTTACCATTTTCTTTGACTGATGGATCTATTTGCTCTATGATATCTTCAATGCCAGAGATTTCCTCTTCTGTCTCTTGTATTCTGTTGGTGATGTTTGCAGCTGTAGTTCCTGTTTGCTAACCCAAATTTTCCATTTCTAGAATTCCCTTGGTTTGTGTTTGGCTTATTACATCTACTTCAATTTTTCAATCTTGAACTGTTCCCTTCACCTGTTTGATTGCTTTTTTTTCTTGAATTTCTTTAAGGGATTTATTGATTTCTTCTAATTTTTTTGTTCATTTTTTTCTTGATTTGTTTAAGGGAATTTTTCATTTCCTATTTAAGGACCTCTATCGTCTTCATCAGGTTATTTTTCAGGTTTTTTTTTCTGCTTCATCTGTGCTGCTATGTTCAGGTCTTGGTGTTGTGGGACTGCTCGGTTCTGGTTCTGGCGGTGCCATAAGGCCCTTTATGTCATTGCATGTACTCTTGCACTACCATTTACTCATCAGGTTTTGGGATAATTATAGGTAAAGGTGTTGATTCTTGTGATGTCTTTGTTTAATGGGTCTTTACTCTTTGTTGAATGTTTCTTTATTTTCTATTTCCTTTCTGGTCTTTGGCCTAAATGGCCAAGAGGTTCCGGTGGTTGGCTGGTCCTCAGGTCCAGTAGGGTATTCTCAGCTGAGGTTTCCAATCTAATAATTCTTGTAAAAAAGAAGAAGAAGAAGAAGAAGAAGAAGAAGAAGAAGAAGAAGAAGAAGAAGAAGAAGAAGAAGAAGAAGAAGAAAAAGAAGAAGAAGAAGAAGAAGAAGAAGAAGAAGAAGAAACTGAATTTCTATACTGTGGAAGAGTTCTGTAGTCTTGAAATTAATCTCTAAACAGGTATTTAATTTTGTCAAAGAACCAACTATGATATAATTCCCAATTCAGTAGATATTATTTAACTTTTGTACATTGACTATGTTAGTTGTAATTAGCCAGAGAGAAAATTATTACAGGAATAGTTTTTAAAAATCAAATTTAAAATCACATTTTTTTATAAAAATGCAACCAAATAGAAACTTCCTGACACACAAATATTTATGGGTATTTCTTACAATATAGAAATGGTTTCATATAGTTTATTGTTACCTGAAAAAAGACAGGTTATGAAGTCAAATGAGGTGTGTTCCAGGCCAGAGGAAGCAGTTCTACAAAGGGGACATGTATAGTGGAAGAGAAAAGTATGTTGATTGTGATGCAGGATGCAGTATGAGAGCATGATGCAAGATGCCAAGACAAGGTACTTAGTGGCTGAGTTAGAAGATACTGTGATCCTGTTTTTTTCTTGTTAATACAAGCATCTAATTCATTCTCTCTCTACTTGAATAATATAATTATAG